TCTCCACTATTTTATCCTCTGGTGTTATTACAATTATTACTTGCTAGGAGCTCCCACATAAAATCTAGAACAAAAGCTGTGACCCATTCAAACATTCAAAGGCTTAAAATCAGTTAGCTGTTAAGTGCATTTGATGTGAGCCGGTGTCTTTGTTTCTATCTATAGAGGCTGTGAGTGTGGATCTGGTGAGGGCAAACATAGAGCAGCTCCAGACTGAGTGGGATGTCTGTGCGAGGGAGCTGCAGGCAGCCCGTGAGCGGGTTCTCACGCAGACCCGGCTGAGAGCGGTTTCTAATGAACTTGCAGGCTTGGACCGGGTCTTGCAGGAACAGGACCAGTGGTTGGACTCGACCGCGCCTGTAGAAAAGTGCAACAAGATGGAGCTCGGAAACCTGAAGGGGGAATGCCAGGTAAGATTTACCGTCTCACTCCCAGACACTTCAATGTCCTTTGTGTGACTTTAACCCTAAACGTCACTTGTTAAATTCCTCTCATTCAACTGCAGTTTCTTTACAAGTATTACAATTTTTACAGCAAAGATAAATCACCATTAAAATCACTGATCAGAAACCACGAGGCCACAGCAGGGAAGCAGTAAATCAAGTTGAGATGCATTCAAAAGCTTGTAGAGTAGAGTAAGACACATGAAACCTCCCTCCAGTGTGTCATAATTTGAGCTTAACTTACTTGCCTGTCACTGGAAACAATGACTCCATCTGGTAAATTCCAGACCAGTCAGCTAACTCACTGCAGCAGTGTGAGTAAGATGTTTTGTAATTATTTTAGATAAATGTATGTAATTGCACAATAAAGAATCAAATGTAAATGTTTCTAATTCTTTTCAACAAACATGAGAAGTCTGAAAGCTAATTGAACGAAGTGTGGTCATGTGATCACTCATTTCAAGCACTGAACACATTTGTTTTCTTTTGTGCTTGTCAGTCTCGAATCGCTCAGGTCACCGCCTTCAGTCCCCGACTGGAGCAGCTGTCTGCAGAGGCAGGGTCAATGGGAGCCCTGCCTTCTCTAAAAGACAACATGGTGGTGGTTTCTGCACATCATGCCTCCACCCTGCAGAAGCTGCAGAGCAGAGAAAAGGAAGTCAATGAAGGTACTGCTTAAGTGCATTGAAATAATTTCGTAAATCAATACAGTAGAAATGAAGTCCGAAACTCTGAGCAGGTCCACCTGCTTTTCCAGTGACCTGAGAGCTTTCAGATATCCTCTTAATCCTGAGATCTGCAGGGCAGAGATTTAAACCGCCCTTAAAACAAATGCCTTTATCTCTCTCGTTGCTTGTGGTGCAAAGCTTTCAGGTTTATGGGAGACTGAATGAGTAATGGTTACGATCAGCAGAGTTCCACACGGGCTGTGTAAATTTGACATGAGCTTTTATACGAATCCTTGGCCAGCCACAAGTAATAGATGATCGAGCCTTATATGGCCTCCAAAAGCTCACGGAGATGCGAGTGTGTACGTGAACGATCGTGCGTAAGATCGTACCTCTGTGCCAGCTCCGTCTCTACCTGAGGACCTGACTTGGACCTGGACGAGTTCTGAAAATAAGTCACCATTTTACCTCTGGAATTTACGTGCGCTGATCCTGGCCAAAAAATATCCGTAAAGGGAGGCTTGAATGCTCTGCTGACTGTAGGGGGATGTGGGTGGGTGTTGTGTTTGCATGCCTGTTTTGCTGTACCTCTACGGCTTTTATGACACTGAGGGTTTGGATGGGATCCAAGGAAAACCTTTTTGTTTCTGCCTGAGGGCGGTTTGATTCTTGCTGGGGCCCTCTCTATCACCACCCCCACCCCACACTTACACTCCAGGTTTGCTCCTTGTGTATATGAACATAGCCAGATTACGTAAGCATTAAATCACCTGGTAGTTAACAGAGAAGGGGACACAGGGGAAGGAAGACAGGAGTGGAAGTATAGAAAAATGTGCAGAGGAATAAGAGTAAAATGAAAGGTAATTGAACTAATTAAAATAAATTGGTCACTTGTGAACCTTTTGGAGGTTTGGATTTGCTATTTTGGAAATAGTGTGTTAAACTTATTTTAAGTTTAACACACAGTGCAATGTTTGGGAACCTCTTAGTGTATGGAAAACACAAGCATCTCCAACTGTAAAGAGGGGGAATCCCAAACTTGCTCACTACCCCCTTGTGGCAGAAGCTTGATGCTTAAGCCTGAATGCTAAAGTTATATTTCACAGTTTTTCCTGTCTTTTCTTCTCTGTTATTTTCTAAAACAGCTTCTCTTCTTTGCCTTATTTCAGCCCTGGCTAATCTGGAAGCCACGCAGCTGGTACAGTCTGTGGTGGAGGGTCTAGAAGCCAGACTGGCCACTCTGAGGAACGGGATGGTTGACATGCCTACAACACAAGAGGCAGTGGAGCGGGCACAGGTGAGTTTTCCTCCAGATGAGTTTAAATACAGATATTCTGCTAACTGACAAGCAGACAGCTAGGACAAAAATGTGAATTCGACTGAGGAGGATATAGCTGCATTAATTAGTTGGATAGTTAGTATTTTTGATGATCTGAGGTACTCGTTAGCACTTTAGGTTTGCTTTTTGTGCAACACGGTGTTGCAGCGGTTAGCACAGTCTCTTCTCAGCAAGAAAGATCCTGGTTCGATCATGTGCTTAAGTGGGTTTCCTCTGGGTTCTCCAGTTTCCTCCCACAGCGAGTCAGATAAAGTGCTTAAATCGTATAGAATAAAGGGGTTTATTAATGTGTGGTTAAATGTGGCTTGTATTCTAAAGCACAATGAAACTATATAAATATATAAATGTTAAATGTTATTTTGAGCCTGCTGAAAAGTTTAGCTGCTGTCATATGTGCCCTTTGGCCCAAGTAATTTATTCTCATCATTCACTTTGGTTGTTTCTGTGTCCTTGTATGTACATTATCTCAGTTTTTGCTGTCGTCTTTTCCTCTGAAAGAATAACAGATCCTTGTATCAGCCAGTCACTTCCCTCTGCACTGTATTAAACCTTTGTGTAAGAGGGAAGGGTGTGTAGATTTGTTATCTGTGCATTGTTGTGCTTTGTGTGTTGCTGTGTGTGCTGGTCTCCTCCTCCATCCTTCAGTGGAATGTGGCTCCGTCTGCGCTCTTGTTATCATGGCAGATAGGGCACGGTGCCGGGGAGGGGGGCGGGGACCACGCGCATTCTGGGCAGCATGCCCGTGCATGCAGCGCGGAGCTCCTAACAGCTCAGTGTGGAGCCGCTGAACCTGTCAGTCAGTTTGTTGACCGCAACATGCAATACCATAGCAGCATGTGCGAGTTCAGGTTCCCTTTAGTCAAATGAGGCAAGGTGATAATCACCATATTGGCTCTGGTTTCTCTCTGTGTTAATGTATGACAGCACACAGTTTTTTTGTAATATAGAAATTTTATGTTGATGACATAAAATTAACAGCGGCACTTTTCAGTGTTTAAGCTTTGGATCCACAGTTAAACCTCACTAGTTTACTGCTGGTTTTAACCTGTTTTCCTCCTATCAAACCCCAGCTGATGGCTGCCACTCCCTGAACCTGGCTCTACAGGATGTTTCTTTCTGTTAAAAGGCAGTTTTTCCTTCCCATGGTCGCTAAGCGCTAGCTGATAAGGGGTCATTTGATTGATGTGTTTTTTTTTTTCCAGTGTTATTATATGGTCTTTAACTTGCAGCACCTTGAAGCTTAAAATTGAATTGCTAGGAGTGTTTATGAATAATGAGTAATTAAATTAATTTACACACTATTTAACTAAAGAGTTGAACATTTAATGAGGAACAAACCACATGCTTGTTAGGCCTTCAGTACACATGTAGATTACAATCATACCTATATTTTATTTTCAAGAAGCTACATTTTGCAGGGTGTATAACATATGATCAATATCTAATGACTTTATAACTTACCGCAATATGATGTACGGTATAGACAATGTCGATGTTAGTTATCTGCAGACATACAGCATTATAAGAGCCAGGTAATTTAAATTAAAGAAAAGACACCAGAAACACGCTTCAACCATCTTATGAGAATTGATGCTGCCACTTCCCTGTTGGCAATATGCGTTTGGAGCCTCAAACACAACAACCAGATGATCCCTGCAGAGTCGGGCAGAGTGTAAACAAGTAATCCATGACCTAATAAAACAAGGTTACTTTTAAACTGCATTGTTATGCCTGCAATTGTATCTGAGTAAAGATACAGATAATATTTTTTTTAGGGAAATTTTTCCGTTGTGTGACCCTGAAAGAAGAACAAATGTTTGCTGATATACTGGATTTTTAAATCGCCAAATATCATATTGGTCTTTAAATTCCTGTTAGACTCAACTTTTTGTTTTTGTTAAACTCTGGAATAATCTCAAGTTGTTGTTGTTGTTGTTGTTGTTGTTGTTTTGGTTTTTTTTTAATGTTTCTTTTACAAATGCAAAAATGTTTAAGAGATTTCCACTCCAGGCGGTCAAATTTGTTTTCCAAGAATTCCAAGATTGATTGTTTCTCAGAAATGTCATTTCAATTCTGTACTTGTGTTCACGTCAGGTCCTGTGTCTGGATATTGAGCAAACACAGCAAGCCTCTGACCCTGCAGAACTACAAAAATGGAGTCAGCTGTCCTCCCGGGCCCGTGAGGAGCTTGGCACTTTGCAGTGCATTCTGGGTAGCATGAAGGACAATCAGGTAGAGCAGCTGTCAGGGAGAATAAAGAGTCTGTTTCTGCTTAAATTATGCCTGTAGTTTACACTGTGGTTTTGCTCTTGTGCTGCATTCAGGTTCGTTTGGAGCAAGTGGAACGTTGGCTAGATGCAGTTCAGGAGCTGTTGTCTCGGGATGCCACAGGGATGGGTGACACAGAGAGTCTAAGGGAAGAACTGAATCGGTGCAAGGTGAGAGAAAAATGCAACAAAAAACAAACACTGGTGGTAATGACGCACAAACTGCTCAGAAATCAACTTGAACAATATGCTGAAGTAGGGTTTTTTGTGGGAGGCTTGGCTTGAATGAACTTTTTTTTTTTTTAAAGGATTTCCTTTCATGTTCCTATAAACAGGAGCATGTGAATGAGATGGAGCAGGTGGAAGGTTCACTGAAGCAGATGGGAGAGAATGTGAATTCGGTACAGGCAGCTGCACTACCAGGACTGGCCAGGTGGGGGCAGGACAAATTGGATGAGTGCCAGGCTCGGTGGACTTCTCTCAGCAAACAGGTGAGTTTGTTTTATTGCTTATAATTTATTTAGTGGCTGATTTATGTCATGGAAAAATAAACTGAACGCTGAAACCAAACCAGCAGCACAGCACGAACAGTCTTCATAGCAGCACAGAACAGAAGAATAACAGCTCCTTTATGCTCTTTGTGTGGATACAAACTCTGATCAGCTGTAAGGAGCTTGTTTTCTCACAGTCATGTAGGAACCTGTCTGATAACAGAGACATGGAAAGTGCATCATTACCTTGAACACAGCTAACTGTTAGTTTTGGGCCTTTTGTTTGCAGTCTTCACACAAACTATTCGTATAATAAAGTTACAATCACATATCAGTAGTACACAGAGGCTAAATAAGTTAAAACACTAATTTTACATTATAAATTACAATAACAAATTATGCATGCACAACTAACCTTAATGTTTTAATGTTAAGGTTTCATAACATGTGGTCTCACCTGTGTCCTGTACCTTTTGTTTTGTACATCATAAGTACTTTACAGGAAGATGAAGTCCACTTCATTTCATTAATATGCTGTACTGTATATATCATTGCATAATTGCTTAATCATGAATGTAAACCACTAAAAGATCAATTAAAATGCGATTTTCAAAGCAATATTAGAATTTCTAAAATTCTAAAAATGTGATGCCAGCTCGTTACAAACCTGATGAAATGCATTTTCCTTCCAGTTGCTGAGCCATCAGGAGCGCGTGGCAGAGAGTCAGGAGAAGCATGTGAATTTGAGGAAAGACCTGGCAGAGATGCAGGAGTGGATGGCCCAAGTTGACGAGGAGTTTCTCATGAGGGATTTTGAATACAAAAGTCCAGAGGAGCTGGAGGCATCGCTGGAAGAGATGAAGGTTGGACTGGAAGGGCGGTCAAAGAAAGCGGTGTCGAGTAATTCTTTGTGTTTGAATCTAACTATTGCTCTCTCTCATCTTGGGTGGCCTCGGCTCTCGCAGCGGGCTAAAGAGGATGTGGTACAGAAAGAGGTGAAAGTGAAGATCCTGAAAGACAGCATCAACTTGCTGGTGTCCCGAACATCACCCACAGGTGGAGGCAGCAGGCAAGAACTGACCTCAGAGCTAGAGGGGGTACTAGCCAACTACCACAAGCTCTGTGACCGCCTCAAGAGCAAGTGTCACACCCTGGAGGTAATGTAATCAATTTATTAATGTAATATATGTTGGTGGTGATTAAAAATGTAATAAATGAGCTCTACTCACATAATATATTGATTAATCTCATTATTATGAGCTTTTATTGCTTGAAACCTGCACTTAACTAAGTAAATTATAAAAAGTGGCATTTCCCCCTATTGTGTTGCATTTAAATTACCTTGAAGCTTAAGTAAAAGCTGCTATGACACATTAACATGAAGTTAATTCATGGTTTTCTGCTTGAGTGGCACGATTTTGTCGATCAGCTCAGAAGTCCCGTAGTTCAGTAGAGGAATGACATGTCGGGTTATGCAATGTGTCATTTCTTGGGCCCTCGTTTGTTAATTTTCGTGCAAAGACTAAAAGAAGCTTGAAGGGGAAATGGTGATTCTTGTTTTCAGAGCTAATCTGTAAGTGTAAAGTCCTACTTAAGGGCTCCTTTTTTGATTAAACACTGCAGAGTAAAGGTCAGGCACGTCAGAAAGCTGTGTTTATGCTTGTGTCTGCTTTTTGCCTGCAGCCTGTTTGTCACAACCTCCTCTTTGTCCGTAGAATTTGGCTGTTTAGTCTTGCTATAAAGAAGAAAATAAGCATTAAAATGTTTTATATTGTTCTTTAAGCGCCTGAACAGGGGCATGCTCATGAGTGTGGTCACCTCGTAGTAACATAAAGAATTTCCCTTTTAATAGTTTTTGTGTTGCTCTGTGCTCTGTAGGAGGTTTGGTCTTGTTGGATGGAGCTGCTTCAATACCTGGACATGGAGCAGAGCTGGCTCAACACTCTGGAGGAGAAGCTCCAAGCTACTGAAAACCTGCCAGAGAGCACCGAGGCCGTTAATGAAGCCTTGGAGGTAAAAACGTACACCTGTAATCAAATTCAATGTAATTCAGTGCCACATTCCAATTTCTGTCTCATTTTTCTTTTAAACCATCTTTTAAACCGGCAAGCCTGTCCTAATATCCTCATCATCTAAGGGGCGGTTGACATAAAATGAAAACAATGCACCATTCTTCGTCTCAAAGTGGGAAATCTTAATATTATACATCCAACTACATAATTTTAGGAAACATGTTGATGTCAAAAGCAAATGTGGAAACAGTTTTAAAGTACACACAAGCATTTTCGAGAGCTGAAGGCATGTGTCAGGAGCAAGTGTGTAAGAAATCTGATATAATTAGTTACATCTTTAATATATAAACAGAAGACATGAATCTTTGAATGGATTTTATCTTTTCTCTTTTAATCTGCGATACAACACCATAACCTCACAAATAAACAGAGTTGTGGTCAGAAGTTACTCTTTACTCTTCCAAATGTGCCAAATCTTGTCATTGTGGTCAATGACTGTATGCATATATTTGAGGCTGTGTAGAAAATGCAAACTATATTCAAACTTGTGCTTTGGATACTTGTTTTTAACATCATTAAAGATGTAAGCTGTACAATCATTCCACCTCGGAAAAAGAACAGTTCAAATAAATCATTTAAAAGCCTCAAATTACCATGACATTCATGCCTGTGATGACTGTATGTAAAGTTCTGATCACTTCTGGTTCTGTATGCATGAAGCGGCAACATTTAACAAACTAATTCTTCCATTACACGTTGAACTGGACGTTAATAACCTCATTTGTCTTTGATTTGTCTTCCAAATTTCTTCTGCTTTGCCTTGATCTGCTGCTATATCTGTAGACCGCCTGCGGCACAACTGTCAGAGTCACTTTAATCACAGTGCTGCTTCTGTAACATTGCATAGTGATGAAGGAAGTTGAAGACCCTTGAAGACAATGTTTCCCCGCTCTAGTCTGTGTCCTTATAATATATTTTTTTGACTTTTCTTTTCTCCTCCAACAAGTCCTTCTCTTTCTCTCTTCCTCTTCACTCGTTTAAATCCTGTTTCATCACCCGGCACTCGTTCCTGGCCTCTCGGTTTCCTAATCAGACCCACCCCTCTGGTGGGGGCTGTCTTTCTCTGTGTCTGTTACCTCCGGGGAAGGAAAAGCAAATTTAATGACCCCACATAAACAGTGACTGTTGGGTCCAAACCGGTGCCGTCACTATTCAAGCTCGCTCTCTCACTCGTCTCTCATTTCTCATTCAGTTATCATCTTTGTTTTGGTTTGCCGCTGTCTGACACACCCAGCCCAGCGAAATTCTGCATCTGGACTGCATCTGTTTGCTCAGCTTTTTTGTTTTTTTGTTGTTTTTTTTTTTTGTTTCTCTCTCTTTCATCCACACATACGCTTATGTACCGGAATTCATTTTTCACCCTGATGTTTTGCGCTTTTTGATCGTTTGGTTACAAGGTTAGCTCTGCTCTTCTTTTTCTTTTTAATTCATTCATGCTTTGCAAGTTTCTGTTGCAAATTTTTGGAACTGTAAAGCTTCATCATTGTTTCAGCATCCTCAAAGGATTTGCTTTCCTCCCCTTTTTGCTTGATTCTTATTTATTCATTTTTTTCCTGATTCTTTGCGGATGTATTTATGCTTCTCTCCATCTCTTTTGTCACCACCAGTCTTTGGAGGGTGTGCTCCGCCACCC